AAAGGATGCAGCGCGTGACTTTGGACGGGAACATATCAGATGCAGTTACAAGTACATCAGGAGTGCCCCAGGGCAGTATTTTGGGTCCATTATCGTATAGCCTATATACTTTTAATTTCATGAAGTCGCTGAGTTATTGTCAATATCATCTTTATGCTGACGACACTCAAATGTGTGCCTCTTTTAAACCTGATCTGTCAGAACTTATAACAAACCGACTGAATACCGACTTGAATAGCCTTCTCAAAACCTCTGAAGATCACTTGTTAAAGATAAACCCTAGTAAATCGTCGGCTATATTGTTTTGTAGTGATTCCTGCAGAAACGTATTAGAAAATAATATTACGCTCAAACTAGGGGACAATATAATATCATTTAGGGATTCCGTGAAGGATTTGGGCTTAATAGTTGACTCTAAACTTAAGTTTAGAGAGCACATTACTCTGTGCCTAAGAAAAGCATATTCAATGTTAAAAATAATTTACCCCCATAGACATTACCTATCACAAAGTACTAAAGCCACGCTCTGCGAAGCTTTAGTGTTGTCCCACTTCATCTTTGCTGATATGGTATACGTATATGGCCCATTTCTTAGTAGTGTGGAACTAAAACGGGTTCAAAAAGCTCAGAATTCTTGTCTGAGACTGATATTTGGAATAAGGGGTAGACAAACAGTATCCCACAAACTACCTGAACTGGGATGGTTGAATATGGCTCAGAGGCGTACCTTGCACTCTACTTCCTTTTTTTACAAGATTATAAAATATAAAAGCCCTCCTTATCTTCACTTAAAAATTATTTACCGGACTGATGTACATATTACGTCTGCACGCTTACAAAATTCAGTTAGTGCAGGAATTAAAAGATAATGACGCTATTCAGAGACTAAACTTTGCGAATGAAATGTTGAATCGATTTTCTTCGCTCAATAATGTGTTGTTCTCGGACGAGGCTCACTTCCATTTAAACGGGCATGTAAATAAACAAAATTGCCGTTATTGGAGCCCCGGAAATCCAAGGCGTATGCATCAGAAGCCCTTACACAGCCCTAAAGTTACAGTTTGGGCTGCTATGTCAGCGCATGGCATCGTAGGCCCTTATTTTTTTGAGGGCGACAGAGGTCGCGCATTAACTGTTACTTCGGAGCGGTATGTAGCAATGATAGAAGAGTTTTTGACACCAGCGTTGCAGAATTTTCCAGGCTATAATACGCAGACCTGGTTTCAACAGGACGGAGCAACTGCCCACACCTCCAACACTTCTATGCCCGTCGTCTGTCAACTTTTTCCCAGCAAAGTAATTTCTCGAAGAGGAGACATTTCCTGGCCACCACGTAGTCCAGATTTGACCCCAATGGACTTCTTTTTATGGGGCTACCTCAAGAGTAAAGTGTACGACACCATTCCGCGATCAGTTGATGTCCTGAAAGAAAATATCCGAAGAGAAATGGCAAGCATTACAGTGTTGACTTGCCGCGCAGTCATCGACAATTTTAGGCGTCGTTTATATGAGTGCCGTGATCGTAATGGATTGCATTTAGACGATGTGATTTTTAAAACATAATTCCCATTCAATAAAGATGATAACAAAATATAATAATTCTTCATAATGTAACTAGTTTGGTTTTATTCCCTTTTTTCCAGCTCAAAGGACTTATGGGCCACCCTGTACAAAATTGACATTGTAGCATTAATGCTGAATAAATTTTCAACAAAAAAAAAACAGAATCAAAATATTTTTCTGAGCAGATGCGAAGGTATTTCCTTTACTATAAAGCATGACAAAAACAAATTAGAAAGGCATCCTAAGCCTTAGCCAGGTAGTCGATGGCCGCCAATCGATTCGATTGGAAGCAATATGAATATGGGAAATCTAACCATCGAAGAGAAAAAGAGAAAGATCAAAACCTGAAAAATTTTATCAAGTTTCTGAAATGGCCGCTAAGGGCGTAACTGCAATCTTGAATCTAAAAAAGTGGTGTTTTTGTGAATTCCGCTATATTAACCTAACAAAACATACGAGTCGAGGATTATGTAAACTTTTTTGTTAGACAATTTTTGCTTTAAATCTAAAAATAAAATGTTTCCGCAAAAAACACCCTGTATCTTCGAAACGGCTGAGCCGATTTTAACAAACTTGGGCTAGTTGAAAAGAACTATTTTTGGGCTACAAATGTTGTAATATTTGGGGTTTTGTTAGATTCACATTTGGCCGCGAGAGGGCTTTCTCCGACATCCTGACAGACATGGTTAATGTTTTCAAAAAAATGCTCGATAGAAAAACGGTATATCTCATTTTCGAAAATTTTCGCGATTGCAATACTTCCCGTCAGTAGGCGTGGTAAGTGAAAAAGCCTGTTAGTCGAGCACAAAACTCTACACAACCTAACGACTTGTAAGAGTAGACGACACACAATAACCTGCCGCAACTTTTTCACTTATTTTGTGGAAAGTATTGTTGATATTGTGGGTACAGCCAATGCCGCACCTGACTATATGAAAATCAGTTTCCAGAGGGACATGTTGCATACACTTTCAAAATTTCACAGCGTATCATTGAATTATCTAAGAAAAGAAGTAAACAGTTTAAAATCAAATAACAACTGTGCCGAAATCACTACTAAAAACGCGCTGAAAAACTGCTTCGAAATTTTTTGTATTAAATTGGATCAATTGTTCACTGAGAAGCAGTTCTTTTCCTGAAAATTTGAAATGCTCTACAATAACACCAGTTCCCAAAATAAAAAATTCTAAAAGATGCAGCGATATGAAACCAGTAAATGTGTTACCAGACATTGAAAAATTATTAGAGTCCATAGTGCATGACCAATTAATGCAGTTTATAGAAGAAAACAAAATTTTAGTGGAGGCGCAAGCAGGCATTCGAAAAAAATATTCCACAGAAACAGCTTTCCAGTTGGTAACTGAGAATTGGAGAAGAGCCATAGACTCAGAAGAAGTTGTCATAGCAGTATTTTTGGATTTGAGGATTGCATCTGAAACGATTGATAGAGATATTTTGTTGGGTAAATTGAAGGCATATGGTATAACAGGAAGTGTTTTAGATTGGTTTAGAAATTATTTGTATAAAAGGATGCAAGTTACAAAAGTTAATAACACTATTTCATCAAAAATTGGAAATACGTTGGGTGTTCCACAGGGCAGTATCCTGGGACCACTTCTTTTTATTTTATACTTAAATGATTTACCTGCCAGAGTCAAAAAATGCAAAATTCAGATTTTCGCCGATGACACTATGATTTATATAAGTACTAAAAATATTCAGTCTGGTATCTCTTATATAAATGAAGACTTGAAGCTTGTCTCAAAATGGTTAGCATCTAACAGACTAAAATTAAATGCAAGTAAAACGAAAGCCTTGTTAATCGGAAAAAAACAATGTACAAATGTTCAACTGAATATTGGTGGTGACGATATTGAATTCGTAGAAAATTTTTAATACCTGGGGGTTTTTGTTGACTCTCGATTAATTTTTGATATTCATTATGAAAAAGTTATAAATAATATTAGTAGTAAAGTGGAATATTTATCGAGTTTCTGGATGTCTGAGTTCATATAGCAGAGAAATTATCTATAATACCATCATTCTTCCAAATTTCTTATACTGTTCGACTATTCTATATTTAGCAAATAATTCCATTTTGGAAAGACTGCAAATTTTACAAAATAAGTGCATGAGAATAATACTAAATAAAGATAAATATACTCCAATTAGGCAAATGCTTAGCAAATTAAAATGGCTCAATGTAAAAAATTTTATCAAATATCTTGTAATGATATTCATTTATAAAGTAAAAAATAATATATTTCCATCAAGTCTAACTAATTTAACATCATCAAATGTCGACCATCATTTACATAATACCAGAAGTAAAGATGACTTCCATTTAATGACCAAAAAGTATAACATATGCTACAAATCTGTTTTCCATCAAGGGTTGATTGAATATAATAAATTATACTCGGAGATAAAAGACCAGAAAACTTTGACAAATTTTAAAGTAAAATTGAGAAATCACTTGTTAAATCTACAATTATAGGTTGCCCAGCATTTACATCATACACCATATGGCTTGAATTTACTAGTTCTAAGTTGTTTACAATTATTCTGTTTATGTAGCCAAATGTGCTAAATAAATCTTTCTACTACTACTACTTACATGTAGTTCAAAACAAGCTTAACATACCTCTTCCGGTTCTACTTCTGCAGCTCGATCTTCTGAGGGAGGTTCTGCTTGTTCCTTTTTCTTTTTCTTTCCTTTTTTGCCTCCTTTGGCGCCCTCTCCTTTGTCACCCTTCTCCTTTTTTTTCTTCTTTGAGAGATCTTCTTTCTTCCTCTCGTGTTGTGGTTCCACTACCTTCACCTTTTTCACTGGCAAAACAAAAATCAAAATCAATTTTAGTTTTAGATTTCCGGTAAAATACCCTGCCTGACAAATACTCCTTATTTCCTCCGTGTAATACTTAATACTTGATCAGAAGGATCTTACAAAGACTATAATGTTTATTTTATAGATTTGTTCGTATCCACTTGATACAGATTTGTATGTGTGCCTAAAAAATGTAATACAAAACAATAATAATCAATAAAAATGTAACAATACATATTAATAAATAAATAATTATTGATACCATCCATATCGCCTCAAGTGCAAGTTCGTACATCCCAATCACTCAGCTACAGTGTAAGATGAATTTTTAACAATAATTTCTTAACATCTGTTTTAAATGGAATATAATTACTAATTTGTTGAATTTGGACTGGTTAGTTGTTCAATAATATGACCAGTTGTAATAAGGGGACCTTTTGTAATAATAATAATAATAATAATAATAATAATAATAATAATAATCATAATAATAATAATAATAATAATAATAATAATAATTCTTTATTGCCCAACAGAAGCATCCATTTATAGGACAATATAAGTGAAAAAGAACAAAAGTGTTCATAAAACATACAAAAATAAAAAATATTTAAATGTAATTAATTGTAAATACGAAATACGCGATAATGGTCAATCTGAGCAAGAACAAATAGAAAGTGAACAGCCTGGAGTTGACGACAGTAATGGTCAAGACACAGAAATATTTGGTATATTAATAACTGAAATGGGTAGAGCATATGCCGAATTTGATGGAACGAACCCGCTAGAAAGACCACCATTACCAAAGTTGAAGTCATCTAGAAAGCTTGCTGTGGTATTGTGTCAGTTAAATAAACAGATCCTGCCAGAGTATCTAGCACACTCCAACTGTATAGAACAACTTCACACACTGATATACTGTGCAGCTGTTGCAACACTAAGAACACTTGGTGTCAAAATGCCAACTCAAAAGATTACTGAAAATTCAGTAAAACCAATAACATTAAAATGGGAAAAACGTCTGGAAAGAAGAACGGCAGACATTCGCAGAGATATCGGACGTCTTACCCAATTCACACGAGGAATAACAACTCGAAAAGTCCGAAAGCAAGCTATGGAAATAATGCAACGACTCCACCATCATTCTCACCAAGACGCAACTAACATCAACGAGTGGCAATGCCTTGATACCTTGAAGCAAAAACTGACCCTATATACTCAGCGATTGAAAAGGTATAAAGCGTCCAGTCACAGAAAGCACGACAATGCGCTCTTTCAAAGATCCGAAAAGGCATTCTACAGGAAACTGTCATCCGAACCCCAGGAAAAGAGCAAAACGGTGCCCACAAAGGACCAAGTAGAGGAATTTTGGGGCAAGCAGTTTGGCTCGACAGCTTATTACAACAAGTGTGCAGGATGGATTACAGATGAAGAAGCGAAGAGCCATTATTCCAATCCCATGCAGTATAGGTCATATACCAAACAAGAAATCGTGGATATCGTTAAGCAGTTGCATAATTGGAAGGCCCCGGGCCCAGACCAGATTCATGGCTACTGGATAAAGAAGCTTTGGTGCATGCATGAACAACTAACAAGATATATCTATGACATGCTTTTGAATCCAAATAAGACTCCAACGTTCCTAACACAAGGGCTAAGGGTATTAATACCAAAATATCTCAATAATACAGAAGACCCAGCAAAATACCGCCCAATTACCTGCCTTCCTACGCTATACAAGGTGGTCACTGCTTGTATATCGAAGCGAATTTATGCTCATTGTGAAGAAAACGATATTATTGCGCCACAACAAAAAGTTAAGTCCCCTATGGTTTTGCCTAGCTATAAATCCCCTCTCAAACCTCTTAAATGCAACAGGGTATGGATATAGTCTGAAAGGTAACAGGAACGCATCCATAAAACTAAACCACTTGCTGTATATGGACGACCTAAAGGTAATAGTTGCTACTGAGAATCAAATGAAACAGCTGCTAGAGATAGTCGGTCAGTTCTCAGATGACATAAGTATGCGCTTTGGGATGGATAAATGCAAAACCTTATCTATACGTAGGGGGAACATCTACCCTGGAGGATTTTCAAGCTACAGAGGCTAAAACATTGGACGCAAATGACACATACAAGTACCTTGGAATGGCGCAGGCCCGAAGGATAGACCATAAAAAAATGAAGGAAGCTATATCGCAGACCTTCACAAAAAGAATACGGCTACTTCTGAAAACAGAACTCAATAGTAAGAATCTAGTCAAGGCGATTAACACCTACGCATGCTCTGCCTTGAACTACTCGTTCGGTATAGTTCTGTGGAGTAAAACTGACATCGAGAAACTAGAGAGGCGGGTAAGGACTATGCTAACAAATAAAGGAGCGCACCATCCTCGCAGTGCAATAGAGCGCACAACAGTACCCCGACAGTTAGGAGGAAGAGGTCTAATGGACATCAGCAAGCAGCTAGCTCAACAGGTACTCGCCTTGCGATCCTACTTCTTTGAGAAGGCCGAGATCTCTAAGCTGCATCGCATCATATGCTCAATAGATGACACAACGCCCTTACACCTTAGTAGACGAGATGACCAACCGAGTCCCCAAACCAAAGAACAGAAGCTACAACGATGGATTGAAAAACCTCTACATGGGAGACATGCCAACGAGATTAGCCAAGAAAACGTTGACAAGAAAGCGTCAAACTATTGGCTTACCTCAGGCCAAATGTTCCCCGAGACTGAGGGATGCCTTGTAGCTATACAGGACCAGGTCATCCCTACCAACAATTACAAGAGGTTCATACTTAAGAACTTGCAACAGTCTGATAAATGCAGGTACGGCTGTCAGGACTCCGAAACAATACATCACGTAACTGGTGGATGCCAAGCATTCGCTCCAACGGACTATAAGGAGCGCCGCGACATAGCTGACAAAATCATTCACCAGGAGTTGGCAAACAAATTCAAACTGATCGAATGCAAGCTACAGTACTATAAATATACACCGCAATGTGTCCTCGAGAACGACAAGTATAAACTATACTGGGATCGCACTGTGCTTACGGACCAATACATAAAACAAAACAGACCTGACATAATCATTGTCGACAAGGGCGCCCAGAAAGTAACACTGATTGATGTGGCCATACCTAATAGTAACATTTTAACATACAGACATAATGAGAAAGTTGCAAAATACAGGGAGCTAGAATTTCAAATTAAACGCCAGTGGAAAATGAAGTACGTGGAAACAATACGAATAATAATGTCATCTACAGGGGTGATACCAAGAATCCTACTAGAAAACATCAAAGCGCTGGAACTGAGTGAAAACATTTACAAAATCATACAGAAAGGAGTTTTGCTGGCAACTGCCCGAATAGTAAGAAAATTTATGGGAAATGCAAGTACCTAGTGAGGTCACTATTGAGGCTTACCCCTTTGATGCTTGAAACGTCCGGGTTAAGCCAGAACACCCCGATTAACGGGAGTAACAAAGCCCTACGGCTATAAAAAAA